TTGGACCGCGGACCACAACTGGGGCGCTCCATTGCCAAACGGCGCACCGTCACGACAGCAGAATGCATGTTGGAATCGTTCATGCACTGCGTGAATGTGGCCCAATTTGAATTCTGCTGTTGAAAAGGTGTAGAGCCCCTGGTCGTGGTCGCTTGATTCAAACGCTCGAGTGGTCCGATCGGCGATCCAAATGGTTGGCTCGCAATGACTGAATGCGCTCTAAGAGGTGGCCGTAAAGTAAATGGTATAGGCAGACCGCCGTGAGCTGATTGACTGGATGCAAAAATGTTGTCTCGGGTCAATCAGCTAATTATACTAGTTGGTTTGCGCGCGATGCTGCCGAACATTTCCTGAACCACACCCCATATTTCGCTTCTGGTGCGAGAAGACTTGGCACGCGCTTACATTTTGTGAAAAGAAGCCTTAGAATTATTACTAAATAAATTAACAGCCTACTGCCTTTTTGAAAGGTCGTTAAAAGACTGGATGGTTAATCTGATTAGTGAGCTGCGGGTTTTTAATTTTGTTGCTTAACCTCGTATCTGTATTTTTTTGCAAATTTTTACTTTGTTATGTTCCGTTTATCATCTGGTACCTGTGTTTCATTTCAATTTTGAATAGATTATCATCAAACAGATGTGCTTTTTATAGTTCGATGTTTGATGGTGCCAGTGCAAAGATTTCTTGTCCTTTTTTATGTTGATTAGTTGTTTTGTCAATTTTTGATGTTGGTTCTCATAAAAATGGCCTGCTAAAGTTTTGTAAACCCTACTACTAGCTAGAAATGCCATTTGCTACTGTATTAGACGAAATGAGGCAAAGAAGTATTTCAGAATCTTACCGTAGTTCAGACGCGATGGGTTTACCTGTCATGCCTTTCGATCTTCAGCAGCAAAGGAAACAGTACCGTGCACCTTTCAAGGTAAAAAGACCTTCGAGTAAAAGTTTTAGAACACCTTACCAAATGGTTTGGGCCTTCAGTTTTTTTTTTTTTCTGGATAGCAAGCAAAGAGATGGCGCATTTGGGAGTGCGGGGACGGTCTTGCTCGCTGGGGATGCTAGGATGTGTTGGAGGGGCTGGCTTTGGCAAAGCAGCAACGCTTTTTCTACCAAATATACAAATGCTTCTCTGATCAGAAGCAAAGACAGTGAAGAGCAAGCCTCTTTGCAACCAACTACATGTGTGAAACCCGAAGTAGGCCAACCCTGGTTTTCGGAGAAGGACCAAAATTTCTTCGGGGTTGTCAGGAGTCTGGAAAGTTTTGAGATGATCGGTAATGTATCGCGCAGATGGCTATTGCTGGTCCAGAAATGAAGGGGTTACAGGACCGCGAAACTGGCTATACATCTGGCTGCCACTGGAAACGAATGTGTGAGGTGTGGGGAGGGAAGGGGAAGATATGGTTCGGTTACTTTTCATCCAAAGATTTCTACTGAAGCGAAATCATTGCATGCAACAAATGTCCGGTAAGAAATGTCGGTCGAAAATGTAAAGGTCAAATGTATACGTCCGGACCACAAGCTTGCCCATAGCGCCCAGCGACCCATTTGCGACGCGTTGCTGCGCTTGAATGGATGGAAGTCTGTTTGGAAGCAAACATAACAAAGATATAGGAAATCGGTTTGGTTCCGGATAAGAATTCAACTTTTTTTGTTTTCTAGACAAAGATTCAAAGGTTGTAGGATGCGCCTGTGTTCGGACAAAAGTTATAAACTCGTAGCAACTCAAGGAAATAGAATTATGGAAGTGCAAAATTTTGTCCCTGGGGAGATTCGAACAAGCGACCTAATGTTCACTTTTCCTGGTATTCGAAGTGACGCGCTGGAAAAATCACTTGCATTTCTATCACGTATGATCCCTCTTTATACATAATCCGTCTACAAAAAGCAGCCCATGAGCCGGAAGTGCACCTCCCCCCTTGGAAGGCAAGCTCGCCCTTGCTGGCGGACCGGTGTGAATGCGAACAGCAGGTTTCTGGGCTTTCATATAACCTTAGAACGTCCACCGCAATATTTCTCATGTTTGAGTGGTTCTAATATTCTGTGCCTTACGAGGTTTTTAGGTGGACTTTATTAAAAATGGCTAAGTTCGACTTAATATTCGTAGCGCTTCAGAGCCTGAATGTGTTTCAAGCCATTAGATATGCAACTACCCCACCAAGCCACCCTCCGTCAACTCTAGCGGGTTCCCCGACATGGGGTAGGTTGCATATCTAATGCTTGAAACACATTCAGGCCTCTGAAGACGACGATTAAGTCGAAACGTTAGGCCATTATTAATAAAAGTTCCACCTAACAACCTCGTAAGGCACAAGAATATTAGAACACTCACTACTAACATGCCGAGGTTGCAAAGAGAAGAGAAGCTGAGAGAATATTCTCTCATGTTTGAGTTTTTCACCGATGGCTGGCGAATAGCTGAGGACGTATGTCAGGCAATTATCGCAACCGGTCATTGTTCTGGTGTAAAAAACATTTGAAGGGGATTGCGTTGGTGTTAGTGAAGCTATACTTATGAGTTTTTGTTACCACAACGCTTTGAAGAGTTTTTTGGGTAAGGAAATAGTCCATCGTGTTGGGTAATTAGTTTATATCCAGGTACAATTTGTGCAGTGGAATCCATGTTCGGATTTGTTAGCACTAGCATCTCGAAAAGGCGAAGTAATGGTAAAAAGAAATATGTGGAAGCGATGTTGGAAGGTAAATCGCCCTTAATTCTACTTCTGTTGTCAATTTTAATCTCAGCATGAACGTTTGCGATTAATCAGCGTTCATACTATACACCGCAATGAAAGCGATGCGGGCGCAGTTCGGCTTGATGGGGCATTCTACTAGTTCCCTCCGATCAGTGATGCCTCCAGGTACGAGGGACTGTAAATTCCTGCAGTTAGGAGGAGCTGTTGCTTACCTTTACGTGAAGTCTAGCAGATTTTACCCAAAGTAAGAGGTGGTAGCAGAATAGGAACCGAAGCAAGAAATAAATTGGCGAAATGTCCCTCATGTAGATTGCCGAGGTGATGCCTATCGTCATAGGACATCATCACGCCTTTATAATACGATCACTGTTCACGTAACGTACACGGAGAATCGGGACTGTGATTGACTTGCTGGCGCAAGCATGTAGTAGTCGTAGCGCCTGCCGGGGGATAGAATGCTAGTGGGCGCAGTTCGCTTAGCGGTACGTAATGCGTACGTGAAGTACGTCTCGATTCCATAAAAAGGGACCTCTTTTACTACGATAGACTTCCTGGAGAAGATCAGGTGATGCAGGAGTTGGCATTTTGCATTTTTACTCCTTCCCATAGTCATGTCTAGCCATCAATTGGAGATCTGTAGAATTCTATGAAGCCACGAATTTATGCCAGTAAAAGTTGTAGAGACTACTTTTCAGCTCTTGCAAATCATTACAAACCGTCATAAAAGTAGCGAAGGTGCAAAATTCCCCCCCCCCCAACCCAGACAACCCAGACTACGCCACTTCTTCTTTCGCATTACCTACTTACTAATGAGTTTCTTCAGCTGAACTTATCGGAAGTTGCCGCTTTTCCTGAAAATCAGTGCAGCAAACCGGCATGTATTGAGTCGATGACATGGTCACCTGATGGTGCGATACTCGCTGTGGCGATGAGTGATGGTCATTTACATCTGATTGAAGCGGAACAGGGCGTAGTCAGATGGTCGAGAAAGTGAGTAATGATCTTTTTTTCCACGAACACAGTGCATCTCAGGGTCAAAAAGGACTCCTTGAGCATCTTATGTGCAGTGTAAAGTAGTTCCAAGTAGCACTGGCACTGATGCGACGAAACTAATAGAATATTCCTAAGGGCGTGTTAGTACTTCTGGGTACGACCCCTTGAATTGCGCGATCGGTTAGCGTAGTATGAACGCACTTTTAGCTAGCTGACTAGGTATGGTGCGACAAGTTCATAATCGAGCAATTATGCTCATGCGAATGCGAATACCGTGCTCATGACGTCACTTTCCAGCTCCCTGCCTTATTGCTTCTTGCTGAAACTAATCTCGCAGCCGATTATCTCTTCTGCATCATACAGAACGCGTTTCGAAAACCAACCTAAGAAAAACAGAGGAGTCTTGATTTACTAGCGTGAAGGTATCTGTG